AAAACGGTTGTCTATAGAGGCCTTACAAATAGCTGTGAAAAGAAGAGACAAAGGCAAAGGAGAAAAGAAAAGATAAACCCATTTGAATGCAGAATAGCAAGGAGAGATAAGAAAGCCTTCCTCAGTGACCAGTGCAGAAGCAATAGAGGAAAACAATAGAATGGGAAAGACTAGAGATCTCTTCAAGAAAATTAGAGATACCAAGGGAACATTTCATGCAAAGAAGGGCACAGTAAAGGACAGAAATGATATGGACCTAACAGAAGCAGAAGATATTCAGAAGAGGTGGCAAGAATACACAGAAGAACTATACAAAAAAGATCTTCATGACCCAGATAACTACGATGGTGTGATCACCCACCTAGAGCCAGACATCCTGGAATGCGAAGTCAAGCGGGCCTTAGGAAGTATCACTACGAACAAAGCTAGTGGAGGTGATGGAATTCCAGTTGAACTATTCAAATCCTAAAAGATGATGCTGTTAAAGTGCTGCACTCAATGTGCCAGCAAATTTGGAAAACTCAGATGTGGCCACAGGACTGGAAAAGGTCAGCTTTCATTACAATCCCAAAGAAAGGCAATACCAAAGAATATTCAAACTACCACACAATTGCATTCATCTCACATGCTAGCAAAGTAATGCTCAAAATTCTCCAAGCCAGGCTTTAACAGTACATGAAGCGTGAACTTCCAGATGTTCAAGCTGAATTTAGAAAAGGCAGAGATCAAATTGCCAACATCTGCTGGATCATTGAAAAAGCAAGAGAGTTCCAGAAAAGCATCTATTTTTGCTTTATTGACTATGCCAAAGCCTTTGACTGTGTGGATCACAACAAACTGTGGAAAATTCTTTAAGAGATGGGAATATCAGACCATCTTACCTGCCTCCTGAGAAATCTGTATGCAAGTCAAGAAGCAACAGTTAAAACTGAACATGGAACAACAGACATGTTGCAAATCGGGAAAGGTGTATGTCAAGGCTGTATGCCACCCTGCTTATTTAACTTCTATGCAGAGTACATCATGCGAAATGCTGGGCTGGATGAAGCACAAGGTGGAATCAAGATTGCCGGGAGAAATATCAATAACCTCAGATATTCAGATGACACCACCCTTATGGCAGAGAGCGAAGAAGAACTAAAGAACTTCTTCATGAAAGAGAAAAAGGAGAGTGAAAAAGTTGGCTCAACACTCAACATTCAGAAAACTAAGATCATGGCATCTGATCCCATCACTTCCCGGCAAATAGATGGGGAAACAATGGAAACAGTGACAGACTTTAGTTTTTTGGGCTGCAAAATCACTGCAGATGGTGACTGTAGCCATGAAGTTAAAAGACACTTGCTCCTTGGAAGAAAAGCTATGACCAACCTAGACAGCATATTGAAAAGCAGAGCCATTATTTGCCAACAAATGTCCATCTAGTCAAAGCTATGGTTTTTCCAGTAGTCATTTATGGATGAGAGTTGGACTATAAAGAAAGCTGAGTGTCAAAAAATTGATGCTTTTGAACTGCAGTGTTGGAGAAGACTCTTGAGAGTCCCTTGGACTGCAAGGAGATCCAACCAGTCCATCCTAAAGGAAATCAGAACTGAATATTCATTGGAAGGACTGATGCTGCAGCTGAAGCTCCAATACTTTGGCCACCTGATGTGAAGAACCGACTCATTGGAAAAGACCCTGATGCTGGGAAAGATTGAAGGCAGAAGAAGGGTATGACAGAGGATGAGATGGTTGGATGGCATCACCAGCTCGATGGACATGAGTTTGAGCAAGCTCCGGGAGTTGGTGATGGACAGGGAAGCCTGCAGTCCATGGGGTTTCAAAGAGTCAGACACGGCTGAGCAACTGAACAGACTAAACTGAACTGAATACCTAATATAGTGGCTGGCTCATAGCAGGCTTTCTATTTATTAAACTATATTGTTACATTACACTAGTACATTAACCTTACTCATCTCTCTCATGGTTTAGTATACTTTGATCATATCCTTCTCTCTACTGCTCTCTCTACAGACTGAAAAAAACAGACTAGAAAATCCCTCCAACACTTTGATCAATTTAGGTTGGCTTCTGGGGATTTGTATCAGTTGTTAAGTTTTTCTTGATGAGCAGCCACAAGGATTACCTATATGATTGTGAATGCAAACCCACTTTTTGTCTTTTACAGGGAAATGATAAGAATTTTGTTTCATCATTGTTTTCAACACTCTTCCTGTTAATGCCCACCATTTTCTTGGCTTTTAGGACCACAGTCACAACTGGGCCAACTTCTTCACAGATTCATAAACAGTGATTTTTATTTTACTCTAACAATAATATTGTGTATTATCTGAGTCAGAGACTGATAAGATGTATTTATAATAGTTCCTGAGATCATCTCCAATGAGTATCCAGATAAACCTACAGATACTCAGCTACTCCAGCTGAAGCTGAAGGAGACAGGCATGATTCCAGAAGGTCCACAGTGACCCTTTCATTTTTTATCACAAACAATTGTCTCCACTGGGGAGGCTTTTCTAATATGTCCCTAGGAGAATTTTGTCGATCTCTCTGCTATGTATCCTGGCTGCCCTAATTTCCTTCTGTATTCTGTTTTTAAAGTTTTAAAATTGAAAGATGGCATACATACATCTTCAGTGACTTCTAGATCCCTTTCTTGAGTCATAACTGAGCCCATCCTCTCATAGCATGGATAGGTTTGCATGACCTTATACAATGAAGTGCCTGTGACTATTCTCCCTACCTGGTCTCATGAGATCTTCCTGCAATTTATTCTTATCAGTTTGCCTGCACTCCCTGCAGATAAACCCGGTTTGAAACCTGAGTGTTTTGCCCATGGAAGGGTGTATATTTTTATCTTTCTTCCTCTCCATCTAAGAATTGCTGTAACAGCAGCTGTTTGTGTTGAAAACTGAAATATAAAAATATGACCTACGTGGCCAAATCCCACTAGGCTGTTTACTTCCTTATTTATGAATCAGATTCTGTCAGCACGATTTAGAATCTTGACTGTCAGCAATACTGCAATTGAATGTCCTTGCAAAGCCAGCAGAGGGTGCACCAGGGCACTGAAAATTTTACCCAAGATGTAGCAGTATCAATTTACTAGCCAATCAACAGTCCCCCCCGCCTTTTTTTTTTGCTTGGTATACTAAACCTAATATCCTTAAATCTTAAGTTCGTTCTGGGATAAAATTCCTTCAAAGCTACTCTAATTCTCCTGAAAGTGAAGTTCAGGAAGAATAAGGAATACATGGTTAAACTTAGTCTGGCTAAAAATAAAGGTAGAGTAAAAAATGATGCAAACTACTTTGTAATTTACAAAGCTCTACCCAGCTACCTGACAAAAAGTTTCCAGAAAGTAGTATATCGCAGAATGGGAACTGAACTGGGAGCAAATAGACCAGCTACCATTCTAATTTTGATCATAGTTGTATGACTTTAGACAAGTCATTTCCCCCATAGGAATTATGTGTTCTCCAAAGATCAGATGGACTCATGGCCCCTCATAATTCAGAAAAAACTCTAACACCAGTTGATGTGAGTAAACGTAAAGAGCCAGTAGGCTTATTTCTACTCCTCGAAAAGACTAAAACAGAATAAAGGACAGAAGATAGGGCACTGTTTTTAAACCTAGACAGAACTATTTTGAGTACCATGCAAAGGCAACTAAACGTCATTATAGACCATATGAGAATCCCATACCATCACAGAAGCCCCAGAATACAGCTGTTCTGCTAGTCCTCAGCCTACAAACATAGGTCAGTTCTGAATGCCAAAAAGCCCTGGCCACTATTTGACTAAGTAAGTTCAATCCTTCATCTTTTCACAGAATACCAATGTTCAGCTGCTAAGTATTTCTACTGGGTATAGTCAGGGACGTAGGGTGGATAGATAAAGGGAACCAGAATCCTAGTTAATTATCATGTAGTTACAGTGTTTAAAGTTTCAAGTACCAGAAGCATGTCTATTGATTCACTTCTTTGATAAACTGTTATATAAGTTTAAGTGTGCTAGCAAAACATTTTAAGGCTCAGGACAACTTTACAATGTAGAAACTGTGTCAGTCCTAATATTACAGCATTATCATGAATGCAACACCAGCTTTGGATGAGTGGTCAGAGTAGCACAATGTTATACAGTATGGCAATGACTCTAAATGTGGTAGTAAATATAGAAGGCCTGGGTCGCTCACCTCAAGGAGTTATTTGCACAACTTGTCCTCTTCCTCAAGAGGAACAAATTGACTGTTATTCTTTAACCACCTCAAAAAGATCCTTGGCTGCTTCTCTTAAGTTTTACACGAGACAAAATATGGCAAACGAGAATATTTAAGTGCACTAAATTTCCCTAAATAAAGAGATTTGCTGTTTCAGAAGTTGTCTAGCAAGACGGTATATTTCTACCAGAATTCCTCAGGGGCGCTGATCCTCACTAAATTACCGAGGACAATTCGTCTCAAATTGCAGGTAAGTGTGAACAAGTCCACGATGATCAGCGCACCAGGACCCCGCGCAGAAAACGCGGTTCAAAGTTGTTTCAACGGGCGTGGAGCAGTTATTACAGCTGTTTACAGCTCCAACTCCAAACGAGAGTCTGCTAGTGCTGGCATCAGCTCTGGACACGAAAAAACAAGCACAGCGGGTGGAGAATCTCACCGGGAGCAGAACGGCCAGGCTGCTGCCGTTAGTTGGCCAGGGGGGCAGCGCCCGCACCTTCGCGCCGCGGCCCGGCCGGGAGCGCAGCCAACTCTTCCAGAGGCAGCCGGAGCCGGGGGCGGCGGGCGCCGGCCAGAGTTCCCAAGTCCGGGGGTCCTGAGAGACTCAGGGTGAGCTGGGCCAGGGACCGAGGACAACCTGCCCCCAGGCGACCTCTCCCTGGCTCGCCCACCACCTCCCCGGTCCAGCCGTCGAACTCGGCTCGAGGTGGCAGAGTCCTCCCCCGGCCCCCGCCCCGCGCACATGGTGAAGGGGCCCTGCCCCTCCAGAGTGACTCACCTGGTGCCCATCCTGGGAGTCTGGGGGGAGCGTAGTTTCTCCCGGCTCCAGCGGCTGCTGCTGCGGGGACCGCTGCCCGAAGTGGCGGGTGATGGGACCGTCGGGGTCGAAGCCACCGGGGCTGCTCAGGGTGCCCGAGGTGCCAGGGGTACCGGGGCCGCTGAAGCGGGACTCAGCTCCCCGTTCCCGCCGCAACTCGGAGCGCAGTTCTAGGTAGCAGCACAACGTCAGCAGGTGGAGGGCCAGAGAGAGGCCAAAGAAACCCAGAAAGAGCCGGCAGCTGTTCCCTTCGCCCGCCCGGGCAGGGGCCCCGCGACAGCCGCAGCCCTGGCTCCCGCGTTGCCGCGGCGCTGCCGCGGGCAGGGGTTCCCTGCGCTCCACCTCGGGGTAGCCCATGGCCTCCGGAGACACCCACTCTCTGAGGCCCGGGAGCCGCCGCGTCTGCCTCAGCCCTTCGCGACCCCTGACAGGCGGCTACTGTCCTGCCATCGGCTGGGGGCTGCAGGGACCCGTTCCTGCGCGACGGAGGCTGGGCGGGACCCAGCAGGGAGCAGCCTCATGTGCAGCTCCTCTCCGAGGGGTGGGAAAGAGAGGAGGAGGGGAGGGAGGGACAGGCGGCTCGGCCCGCCGAGGGAATGAGGGAGGAGGCCCCGGCCGACCCCGCCCCGTGCCTCAAGCGGGTGCTGGTACGCCCAACCACCGGGCCCGCCAAGCCTCGGCGCCCCGCCCCCTACAGTTCCACCCGGGGCCTCCAGCCGCGGGGCGGGGCCTGGGGGCGTGTGGGTTCGCCTCTGTCCCGCGGCCCCACCCAGCTCTTCTAGCTCGCCCTGTTCCAGTTGGTGACTGCGGCTGTCGTTCATCCCTGGACTCCGCCCCAATTTAACCCTTGAGCGCCAGTTCGAGGTTGTGGGGGAGAGGGGAGAGGAGGAGGCGAGGCGAGGGAGGCTGAGAAGAATTGGGGAACCTTGGAAGGAAACTAGAGCAAAGAAAAGGAGGCGGAAACTAGTATTAATAGAAATGTTTGCAATTAACTGCAGTTGTTAATAACATCATCCAGTACTTATCTGTTTCTTTCAATCTTCAAAGCGTTTAACAGACGTTAAACTAATTAAAACAGTCCTGGGTTTGGAATGAAACCATGCCTGCTGTGTTTGCAATTCAATGGCCCGCCAAAAGAAAAGGAGACCCTGGAGCCTGAGAGCCAAAGGGAGTGAGAATTGGGTGGGACTGAGTCAGTCCCACTCCTGGAGTGAGTCTGGGGCCTCAGTCTAAGCGTTAAGAAGCCCATCTGTGCCAGGTGGAACTGAAGTGATGCTGCCTCCTGCAAGATAAAACAGTCCCTAAGATTTCTTGGTATATTATTTCAACGTATTGATCCCTTTACAGTGTAGAAAGTGCTGTAGGAGAGAATCCACAGCCAGCGTAGTTTTCCTCTTCCACTGCAACAGGAGTTTGGAGTGGAGAACAAGTGCCTTCAATAAGCAAATGGGGAAACTGAGGTCCAGAATAAGGTGGATTTTTTTTACAAGCCTGGTCCACAGAATGACCAGACAGTACTGGCATCTCTATTTGCAGGCAACTGTTCTGGCCTCTCCACCCCTCTCCTTCTCTCCCTGGAGTAGTCCCTGGGGGAAGTTCAACAAGTCGGCCAAGTGTTCCAGATGTACACTGCTGCAACTGCAGTATCTTCAATAGCTGCACCAATCAGAAAAGGGTTCAGAGCAAAAAACAAACAAACAGAAAAACAAATAAAAAAGTAGCAAATGTCAGAACAAGACTCTGAAATGAAGTATGGAAAGGATTAGTTGAGTCAAAATTGACAAGAGTTATTAGTCTGTGATTATAGAGAGCCAAATGACCATAGCAGGGGAAGTATGTATGCTTCTTGGTCACTGTGTGAGGAATATTCCCATGTGAGGAATAATTAGCAGTTTTATTGACCTGAAAAGGGTAGGCCTAAGACCTGACTCGATGGACATGAGTTTGAGTAAGCTCCAGGAGTTGATAATGGACAGGGAAGCCTGGCATGCTGCAGTCCATGGGGTCTCAAAGAGTCAGACACGACTGAGCGACTGAACCAAACCAAAGACCTAGGCTGGTAGGAAAGAAGAAAATTAAGGGGAAGTAGGAAAGAATACAGAAGAAAAGAAACAAAAAGAATGAAAGCAAAGCATATGGTAGGGAGGTCAGTCCCAAGATTACAGAAGTCATAAATCTTAAATATATTAGCCACAGCCAATTTTGTCTTTCAGACACTTTATGTATTGCCTCAGTGCTTCAGAAATATCTTTGTGTCTCCTCATTAGCCCTTTGGATGAAATATAAAGTTTCCAAAGACTATCATCATAATGAAAATAAAATTAAAAAGGAGCATTTAACAAGGAATTCTAGATGCTGGCAGGGGGAACTGCCAGGCTGATTTACTTTAATTATTACAGCTCAGAATTATTAGAAAGAATACTAGACTAGAAACCAGTAGATCTGACCCTGACACTGGTTTGCTGGGTCACTCTGAGCAAGTGACTGTTTTGGGGTACCTTAGTTTCTCCAACTGTAAAATGAGAAGTTTGAACTTAAACAGCTAAAATATTGTGTTTTATCTGTGATATCATTGACATTTTGACTTGGTTGCATACATAAAGGGTTCAAAGAGGCTGCTTCTTCTTCCCCTAAAATGAAAAAGGAACAAATAACAGCTACTCCTGAGAGTGGTGGTCGTGCTCAGAGGTTTTACTGGTCTCAATTTAACATGTTCTACCAGGCTTTCCAAAGCTTGACTGAGACCCTGGGTTGCACCATTGCCTTCAGAAGTCCTGCAAATTGCATTTGATCTAGAACCTCACTTTGGTTCCTCAGAAGAAGAACATATGGCTTCGTATGCAGTAGAAATATTGGACTGGGGCAATCCAGTGAGGAATGTACATGGTTATCTTTTAAAAGTGTTTTGGAAAAAAAAATAAAAGTGTTTTGAAGTGTTAACTCTGTTAGTTTCTATGCTTCCATAAGTACCCTATCCCCTACAGCACAGGTCTCAAAATGACAGCCTGCAGGTTACATCCAGTCTACAGATGTGTTGTGTTTGGAGCAGTGTTGGTTAAAACTTTGGATTAAAGAAAAATAATTGCCAGGATACAGAAATCAGGAGATTTCACATTTTAAAATCCCTATTTCTTTAAAGCATGCTAACACTGGATCCACATTCCCATATGGCTACAATCAGCTAGAACTGCCCCCTTGAGATAAGAATGAGCAATCAAGTTCCACACAGTCATTCCCCAACTCATTCCTTTAGTCTCCATTACTGTGCTTGTCGCCCATTTACCTTACCTGTCTGGCCCCATGTACTCTAGAATACAAGATGTCAGCTCCACCCTACAAAGAACCCATACTCCCACAATCCTAAAATCACTGACATGTCCCGCATTTGAACAAGCTTGTTTCTTTGCTAAGAATGCCCCCACCTTGGAAAACTGATATATTCTTCAAGAATCAAATCATTTGTTCCCTCTGGAATGGCCCCACAACTCATTCCAAACAGATTTCCGTTTTTGCTTTCACTGCACCCTGGTATGATGATATCTCCGACCACATCATATTGTTTTATCCACAGGATTTCTCATCACTAACCTGTGAACAACTTGATAGTAAAAACCATGTCCTTTCCATTTTGGTAGTCTCAGTACAAAGCATAGCATGTAACACATAGTAGATACCAGTATTGTTTGTCAAATGAATGGGGCATGACATCTGCTATGGTAACCCAGGCTACCTAGAATTCCAAAAATGAAACTGGGCCAAAGGATGCCTGTCAGTGCTACTTATGAAACTGCTACTGTGTATAGGGCTGTATAATACACTATCAAAGGATATAAAGGAAATAGAACCAAATGACATTTGTACAATTATCCTCTTTATTTGTACCACTGTTGAAGTTGTGGATAATCCAGAAATTCAAAATAATTGGTTTGTAGTACCTAATTGGCTTTCTGTCCCATCAAATTTCTCTTCCTAATTTTATTTGCCTGGGCCCAATATTAAAAAGGTCCATATAGTCAAAGGTTTCTTCAGTAGTCATGTATGGATATGAGAGTTGGACAATAAAGGCTGAATGCCAAAGAATTGATGCTTTCGAACTATGGTGCTGGAGAAGACTCTTGAGAGTCCCTTGGACTGCAAGATTAAACCAGTCAATCCTAAAGGAAATCAACCCTGCATATTCATTGGAAGGACTGATGCTGAAGCTGAAGCTCCAATACTTTGGCCACCTGATGCAAAGAGCTGACTCACTGCAGAAGACCCTGATGCTGGGAAAGGTTGAAGGCAGGAGGAGAATGGGGCCACAGAGGATATGATGGTTGGATGGGATCACTGATTTAATGCACATGAGTTTGAGCAAACTCCGGGAGATAGTGAAGTACAGGGATGCCTGGTGTGCTGCAGTCCATAGGGTCTCAAAGAGTTGGACACGACTAAGCGACTGAACAACAACAAATATTTTAAAAATATTAGTTGGCAATATCTGAATAGTATTCAAAATAAATTGACCACCTCTGAGCACTCACCAATTGGGCAGAAGATGCTAAGGAGTTGGACAGAGACTGGTTTTTAAATACCTGTTAGCTCTGGTTAATACACAGAACAAATCACTGACATAGAAATCACAGAGTTGACTCTCTGACCCATTCAGTGACAAGCAGATAGACAGTTGGGAAGACTGTGGGCTTAGGTCTTATCCTGGTTTGAATCCCAGTGTATTCATCTGCTAGGTATGTGACTTAGGACAAGTAATTTTTGCCTGTCTTGCAGAGCCTCAGTTTTCCTATCTGTAAAATGGAGATGACAACCTATACTTAGTGAGATAACTGTGATGAAATGGGATGCTATATGTCCAAGTGTCTGACACATAATAAATGCACAGTAAATTTTAGTCTCTGCTAAGTGACTTCCAGCAAAAAGAAATGAGAGGAAGAACATTTAACAGTTCTCAAGAATATAGCAGAAATGCAGAAAAGCAGCTACATACTTTGCCCTTGCCAAATGTCTGCCCCCATTTTGTATTCTTGAAGTTTCAGATATTCACACCACCCTCTTACCAACTCTTGACTCCAACTTATATCCAACTTCCTCCTCTCTGTTTCCACTTGGATGTCTGTGAAGTGAAAAGTGAAAGTGTTAGTCACTCAGTCATGTCTGGTTTTTTGTGACCCTACGAACTGTAGCCCACCAGGCTCCTCTGTCCATGGAATTCTCCAGGCAAGAATCCTGGAATGGGTAGCCATTCGCTTCTCTAGGGGATCTTCCCAACCCAGGGATCAAACCCAGGTCTCTTGCATTGCAGGCAGATTATTTACCATCTGAGCCACCATGGAGCCCACTTGGATATCTAGTAGACATCT